TGAATGTAAAACACTAAAACCCTGTGTCATGCGCAGTAAAGTGTACCCAGGCTGATAGAGTTAAATAGTTGTTGGCAGATGTATAGTGAATGTTGCACAAATCTTTATCTTTGATACAGTTCTTTCACAATAGAACTTTTGTCTTTGAAGTAAATATCTTCACAAGTTAGCTTCTTTTGGCTAATGTTAAATTTGTTTTGTATTGATTAAACTTATTTAGCAACACAGTTTTAATGACAAGATTTGTCAAATTCAATATGTAAGAGTAAATTCCATCATGATGGGACCACCTGTATTTTAGATATGTGATCTTTATCAGTTGCAGTGTCTTCTTGTACACACACATGGTTCACTGTTATGTTTTCTGTCGTGAATTAGTTTTAATATGCTCTGTCTATTTTTTTAGTGAACCACTATGGGGAATAGAGGCTAGAAATGCTGCCATAGCCAACAGCTACTTCACCTGTGCTATAAATAGAGTTGGCACTGTAAGTTGTAACCATGTATTTTCTGTTGTTTTTTCTTTTTTGACTAAACATTTATATTGCTTATAAAACTTCATATGTTTACAATGAGTGCTAGACATACAACTGAGCATTTTTCTCAAAACTTCTAATAGCATGTAACAATAGTTTTACAATTTGAGTTATAAAAATAAAGAACAGTAAGTTGACACTTAAGTTTTATTTACTTTATCAGGTAAATATTCTCATTATATGCCATTTTTTATGATTGTATAAAAAAACAATTTTTTAAATACAACTGATCTGGCTCAAGTATTTCCTTTTTTTATTTAACAAAATTGATAATTTTCCACAATCTCATTCTGATATTAAATTACATGAAATATTGTCAATGCTATAATCATGAAAAGGCTAGTCTTGAAATCAATGACGTTCAGTCTTTATATGTTGACGAGTGAAAACTTCACAAGTTTGTCAGTAATATTGTTCACTTCTAGGTATTTTTGAGGTTCACAAATGTTTCAAGTCATCTTGAAAATGGGGAAAATACTTGTTACTGTCAAAACTTCCACATATTAGTGGCTGAAGATCACTATCTCTCTAATGGCTCAAATTAAAAATGAGCCTAGATAAAGAATCTAGTATTTAAAAATTTAGTTGGCCTAAAACAAATGTTTTATGAGAAGTATAACTGTAAAAATAAACTTCTGTAAAAGATGACACACAAAACATGAAAAAAAAATACAAACACAATTTATTTTATTTCAGTATCAATTTACAAAATTCAAGTTTTTCATTTAATCAATTCAGACAGTGGTGATAGATAAAGTTTTATTCAAATTTTAACACTCATCTTTATTTGTGGAAAACAAAGCAAGGTTAATAGTTAATTTAAGAAGTTTTTGGATAGGCTACTTCAGAAATTGGAGAATGCTCAAAGATTTCTTTGAGTTCAGCTCGACTTGTGCCACGTTGTGTTAACTCTTAGTTTGAGGTATTATATTTTAGAAGCATAAAGAAACAGTTGTATACAAGGAGCAGTGAAAACTCTTTATGTTAAAATGAGTGATTAAGGGAATACTAATGTGTAATATCTATATATGTTCTCATCAAATAAATCTTTCTTGTTTAAAATGTAAAAAAAATAATTAAAAAATTTAGGCCATTTATTCCACACACACGCACATGTATGTATACTACAATGTGCTGGTGAAAACCATTAACTCAAAAATTATCTTAATAGTATAGTTAACTTAAAAGTATAATAAATTATGTGTGGATGAGTTAAAATAATTATTTTTTTCTTCTAATTTTTGAATCAAATGGGAATTTTTAGTATGTTCATAATATATGTGATGGAAAATATGATTTAAAATTAAACAAAAAAATTTTAAATTATTGTATTTTAAGTTATTGCACTATGTGCTTTTAATACAATTGTAGAATTTTTATACTTACGGGTAAAGTGTGCTTATTCTTTGATGTTTTGCTTATTTACCAAAAATGAAGTTTTTATGGGAGCTTTTGCACAAACTATGTTACGTCCAATAACTAGATTTATTTCACATATTAGTATATAAATAATAGTGATATTAAAGCATAAGTGTCCGTTGAGGTATCATTTGAAGAAAAAAGTTTCGTAGACTTTTCACAGCAAGATATTTTTTCATTTTTAGTTTAGTTACTCAAGTAATTGTGGTACAACAACCTACACTGTGAAATCAAACATTGACAAAATACTACATTAACTTAAAATGTCATTCCTGTGATAATATGAAAAGCTATTTAAAACAGAAAAATAATTTGTGGTAAATATTTTCCCCTTACTTGTCTGGTGTATATTTACAACTTCACATCTTTACAGGAACACTTTCCTAATGAATTTACCTCTGGTGATGGAAAACCAGGTGAGTTATTAAAAATAAGAAAACGGTTTTCAAAATGTGCTAATACAAGTATAAAGGTCAACTAAATGCATCATTGAAAATTGTGGTGAAAAGTTTCTAAAGTTAAGAAAGTAACCTTAAATTGTATCATTTAAGAATAATGATTTTTAACTTTTTTTTTTGAAAAAGTATAACAAGACTTAATTGAAATAGCAATAAAAAAAAAACAACCTGAAAGGGAAGATATTTAGAAAATCATAATATACGTATATCGGTCATTTAAAATGGATTTATTACCTTTTTTTTTAACGTATAATAAGGTTTAATATTAGAATGATCAGCTTTTCATTGTAATTGTAAATAGTTGTCTGGGACTAAAAGTTTTAATTATAAGAAAATTATATAGTTTTATCAATAGCTAAGGCATTGAAGATTACTATTCCTATATATGTATACCACATATACATAGTAGTAAATTATAGAAGTTTACAAATAGTTAAAATATATAGGTACATATATATAAGTTCTGGGGTAGAAAAATGTAAATTTAATAAATGTAGATTACAAATTATAATATGGCAGTGAGACACTTAACTAACATATCAAGAAGCGGTTTTATAATTTTCTTTGTTTATTATTTTCAGGTCTGTCTTTTCATTGGCATTAACCTTTATGTGTTTTTCATGGTATATAAGTGTTATTTTCATTTGGAGAATGCTCCCCAGTGGCACAGTGGTATGTCTGCAGAATTATACCACTAGAAACTGGGTTTCGATACCCGAGGTGGGCAGAGCACTGATAGCTCTTTGTGTAGCTTTGTGCTTAATAACAAACAACAACATTTGGAGAAAGTGTTAAAACAGGGTTGTTATCATTGGCTAAAACATGTGATAGTTTCTGTGATGTGTATCACTGTGCTTGCATAAAGTCGTATATTCTGTTTGCTTCTGAATGTAAAAGCCTATCTTCTAGAAATATTAACTTATGATATGGCCAACCTTATAATTATATTTTAATAGCAAAATATTGTGTCAAAAAGGGATTTGGAGCTGTTGTAATTCAGATAGGCAATGAATAATTTGGTTGTGAGTAACAGAAAACTGTCCTTGTGAACCAGGTCATGAAACTCACAATGTGCCTTTGAAGAACCAAAAACTACATTTAAAGAACACAAACTAAGTACAAGAAGGCAAACTTGCATACTATGAAATGATTCAAAAGTGACTGAAATCTGAAACTTAACTGTAGAGAAATAAGTTAAAACAAGTCTGTTTTTCTAAATGCTTCACAGGATTATTGTTTCTTTGAGAAGAGAGGTGAAGAAAAAAGTTTGAAAATTTACAAAATTGTAAAAAAAGGACACCACTTTAGAATCATTTATATATAATTCAGTCCTTTGGATACTTTTCAGTATCAGTAGTCATTCAATTCCCTGCAGAGTGATGCAGTATTTCTTTAACTTTGTCATTGGTTCGTGACCTTGTGCTTAATCATAAGTTTATTACTTTAGTAATAGAATATAACTAGGATTAAGTAAGTAATAATGGAGTTGAGTCAGAGATTCTTTGGAGTACTGTTTGTGTAATTTTCCTTTGTTCTGAGTTGTTGTCCAAAAATTATTCAATTTAATTAAATATATTACTTCACATATATACTTTACATGGTTTTTCATTTGTGGTAACCTACCATCATGATGTAGGATAGAGGAAAAGGACTGTTTGTCACATTTGAAGATGTTGAATGATGCATCTGGATCGAATAATCAGATGGTGGTGATGTTGATTGATGATTTTGAACAATGAAAAACAGTTCTTTTTTTTATTATTTGGGAACTAGATTGCCAAAGAAAGAATAGAAATTATTAGGGCTTAAACATCTCCTGTGCACTTAAGCTGAATTTTCCTATTGTGCTGCTATAAACTTCTAGGGATCAAATTTTCTTTTTTTTTTTTTGCAATATGATTAGTTGCTTCTTAATGTGAGTGGAAAGTTTTAATTTCTACTCGTGTATATTCCCTTGTAAGTAATCAAGAGTGTTTTTACCTCGTTTTTATCTTACGTTCTGAAACTTCTCATTGTTTCTGTTTTCTCCTCACTGAGTTGGTGAACTTAGTTATGACAGGTTTTTAACATAACACATACATTGCATGCTCATTTTGAGTTTACTAGTAATGTTAACCTTTTATATAGTGAATATTAATTCATAGAGTTCTGTACAGTTAAGTTTAGTATTAGTTCCTAGCTTCTGTGAAATATCTGCCCTATTTTTGCATTTCTTTGCTGTGAATGCACTGGATAATGATGTAGTGTTAAAACTTAGTGCTAACATTAATGAAGATTCAAAAATTGCCAAAGAGTTGTAAAGCTCTGTTTATAAGCAAAGTAATGACTACATTGTTTATTTTGGCAACATTTTATATCAAGCTTGATATTTCTTCTCTAAGTCTTCGTCATATACCAACTTTCACCCCTTTTCCATAAAGGTTTTTTTCATCTTTGGGTTCAATAATAGATTACTTGGAAACATCTAGGATGAGATACTGTGGTTGCAAAACAATAGTTTTTACAACATTTACAGTGGTAGACTGCTTATTGATGGGTGACATACAAAAGTTCAAGTTATTGTAAAAAAGTTTTTGTATTTGTCAAGATGAATACAGTTTATGCTTAATTTTGTTTTTTGCATGCATAAGAGGACAATTAAAAGCTCTAAACACTGAACCATTAGAAAACGTGTACATGTTCTCCACAGCACAACTGCTGATGAATAATATATAAACATAACATTTGTTAAGGACAGAACTGCTAAGCAACAGTTAGTTCAGGAGACAAAATTACAAATTGCGTTAACTGCCTTCTTGTAAATAGTATTGGTTTGCTGCATATTTTTGAACACGTACAAAATAATACTTTGTTTCATTTAGTGTTATAATAAATCTAATTTACATTGGTTTTCCAAGTTACAAAAAAAATTCTATAATGTTGTTTCAATCAAGTTCAATTGCTACTTATTTCCAGTTGTTTTTTGTGTTTCTTAATAACAAAAAGAGGGAATCCCTAATAGCTGTGGCACTTGGAATTATTTTAGGCAGGATTGGAGTAAATTTATCTATGAGACTTTTTTTTTTCCTCTTTTTATTAGCTATATTTTTGTGCACCAGCAATACTAGGCGTGGGACATGCGTATACCCGATTCAATTGTATTACTCATCAGGATCTCTATAAGCCTACCCTTAGATTTAAATTATTTTAGGTAGGATTAGAGTAAATTAATCTATGAGACCTTGGGCATGGTCAAATATATCAATCAAAAGGGTTTGAGCTCCTGAATCTGAAACTGTCATTAGATCTCATATCGATCAAGAGATGATGGAGATATGAGCTAAAAGTTTGTACTTGAAAAATTTGGAGCCATTCTATGAGCTACTGTTGAGATTTAGTTGTTTTATGGGCAATCAGTCTATCCTTGTTTTATTTTTTGTAAATTTTTACCTTGTTTTATACAGGTGTAATTAGATCAGACTTTGTTTTTGTGATGGTGGGGACATAAAGATATAAGGTACTTAGGTAAATAAATTAAAAGTATAGGTCCAATTGTTGAAATGTATCATTGTTACAAATCAGGTCTTTGACATTTATTCAAAAAAAGGGGGAACCAATATGTAATGTTATTCAGAAAATATTGTGATTATTGAAATTTATTTTGGTTTAACAATGAAATTAATTTTATAAGAATTTTTTTTTTTCTAGCTAGAATGTTGGAAGCTTTAACAACTAATTAAGTAATAGAATGTATTGAATGTGTAAGATATTTGACAGGTTTAGAGAGAAAATAATTAGCTATAACTTAGCAAGTTGTATCTTCTTTTTGTTTCTACTATTTATTAAATACCAGAGTGTTTAATGCATAAAATCTATTTTCTTTTGTAAAGCTCACAAGGACTTTGGACATTTCTTTGGTAAGTTATCTGTTTTTAAATGAAAATATGTTTTCTAATTAGTTGCAGAAAAGACTTGATTTTTTTTATTTCTGTTTTCAGGTCATGGAAACATTCAGTTTCTTTTTTGGTAATCAATAACAAGCCTCCCAGCACATATTAAATAATAAAGTATTGCAAAAAAGAGATGTATTTTTTTGAGAAAGTAGGGGGAAAATAATAAAATGGGGCAATTTGTAATGAATGCCAAAGCTTAGTAGTCAGTCAGTAGCTGGCAGATTGACTTGAAACTTAGTAGGGCTATTCCTTGGTCTAATACCCCCAGATTTGTTTTTTTTTTTTTTTTTTTTTTTTTTTTTTTTTTTTTTGTTTCTTAGTTCTTTTACTTAAGTTTAAGTTGTGTACTAAACGTAACAACCCTAAATAGTATT